TTCACCATGCAAGGATGAATATGCAGGAAGACATTTAAAATTAGGTTCTCCACAAACGTATGGACACTAAGGGGGGAAAGCGGGGGACGGGGGGCGGGGGTGGTGGTGGTGGTGGTGGGATGAACTGGGAGATTGGGATTGACAGATATGCACTAATATGTATAAAACGGATAACTAATAAGAACCTGTGGTATAAAAAAATAATAAAACAAAATTAAAAAAATAAAATTAAAATAAAATTAGGTTCTCCAAAGGGAGCTTTCCCACAGGTGGCGTGGTGAGGACAGCCATCAAGGCCAGGGCCCTCTAAGCCAATGAGAGGTTCTCATCTGGGCAGGTACCTTGGTCACGGAGGAGGTGGGCACCTAGATAGCCTCCCAAGTGTGGTGCTAAAGATCTTGCCTTGTATGTGTCCCACATGAAACAAGCACAACATGCTGTATAAACTGACGATAAGCATAATTCCAATACTGGAGACCCACTGGACAGCTGTGTTCATTCTTTCACAGGGGCTTCTCTTACAGGAAGTGGGACTATACTCTCTCTTTCCAGAAGGGCTTTGGGCAAGATTAGAGGGACTCCCAGGTAAACACCACTACAGCCTCCTTTATTCAGAAGCGAAGTAGACAAATGTTCCTCCATCAGTTAAGTCTAGCTATGCCCCAGAGCCCTTCTAAGCACTTCTCCTTCCCTACAAAGACTGGAAGACTGTGGGCCTCCCCCAGTTAGAAGGCGGATGGTGCGGCAGCTTTGGTACTTTCTGATACTTATGATTGGCATTGGCACATAGATGGGCAGCAGGAGGTCACAACGGCCGGCATCAGGATGACAAGGCTGGGTTTCCTTCAGTGCATGGGAGGTAAACTTTTACATCTCAAGGTCTCTTCCAGTTCTACCATCCTAAGATGTGCCCCAGGCACCCAGGAAGGGGGAGGAAACTAGGGAAGACCCTCCACTGAGCAGCACCCATCCTTTCCTTTTCCAAGGGGACATCTACAACGAGTCTACTTAATGATGCTTAACACCACAAACTGCCCCCTAATGGGAAAGAGGCCTCCCTTCTCTCCTGTAATGGGATGTGACTGCAGGGCAGACACCTTCATCACACAGGGTCCACTGCAGCATTGGGGGCAACTGGCTGTGAAATGGAGCTGCAAAGAGAGCCATAATCTGCGCCTGACTAATGAGGAGGGACTGGTCTGTGTTCTGTGAACACAGTGGAGGACAGGCCCATTAGTTACAGACCAGAGGGCAGAGGGCACAGGGCCCAGGGCCCAGGCAGCGGTGCACATCTTCCAACAAAGTGCATTGTGCGTTACTTGAATCACCTCTGAATTACCCAGCCCTCCCACAAATCGCTCATTAAGGCTTTCCTGTCATTCCTGAGCTGCAATATTCCCCTTCTCTGAAAACTCCCTAAGCACAGAGGCTGTGCCTAGGACAGCAAGTTGCACACAGCAGACATAAGTAATAATAAATAGGACTTGATGACAACATGCTGCTCCAAGACAGAAACTCTGGCTCACTCATCTTTATCCAAGTGCCTTGTTTTGGGCTCATGACAGCTGCTCAGCAGAAGTTTATTAAATGAATGGGTGGCCTGCTTTATGAATTAGCTGCAAAACAGCGTCCCTCATCCCTAAATGTTTAATTGGGAGAGAGAAAGGCTCCTTCCCCGCCACCCCCAAGATGAGGGATGCATGCATAGGGTCATTGCGGAGGTCAGGGGAAGGTGGGGAGGGGTTGTTTCACTTCCCAAGGCCAGCTGGTAAATGGGGAGCACTGACCATTATTTAAGGCCTGGGAAAGAAGCTGTCACCCACAGGGCCAGAGGGGAGACGCTGTGCCCACCCCTTTACAAAAATAGAAGCTGGGTGATCATCAGACTCCTCCAATTGCCAAGAGCTTCCCAGATCTGGAATTAAAGGCCTCCGACAAGCCTCCCACCAGAGAGGAGGCTAAGACGTGGCTCATGCAGGAACTATTTCCTCAGGCCCTTGTTTAGATGAGGATATGCACACACAACTCTTACCCAAGCCACCACCCTCCTCACCCCCTTTCCAAAACACCAAATAAGTCAAGGGCTGAGGCACTTAGCTCTGCAAAGATATTTTAAATTAATCTTGAAGCAATTTAAAAGGACTGTTTTCCTCCCCTGCCCCTCACCCAGCACATTTCTGTGGCAGCCGGGTCAAGCCTGAGCAGCATTTTCGCCACTGACTCAATACCGAAATATTCCTGGGCTGCCCTCTTCCCATCGGCCTTTTACTCCCTCTGTTTTGTTTTAGATATTCTCTCCCCCACCCCTCCCCCTCTACACATGCGCACGCACACACACACACACGTGCACAAACACGCATGCACATACACGTCTTTTTAAGGTATGAGCACAGGTCCTAGCTTACAGTCCATGCGCAGAATTCAGGGATCGTGGATTTGAACAGGGAAAAAATACGCCTTTATTTTAACTCACCTCTAACTAAAATAGAGCATCCTCTTCAATTATGAACAGAGGCAACAAACTTCATTAATGTTACCAATACTTGGGCCTCTGACATCAATAGAAACACACACATTCTCATATCATATCAGGGCTGTTTGTCCTGAAATGTCAGTTACGGTCATCACTACTTCAAAATTATGGTAGTTATAAGACTTCAAGTCCATCTTGTTGTTTAACATGTTCCTAAAGAAGTACATATGTTGCTATACTTAAAAATTTTAATAACTGTACTTCAAAAATTATTTTCCAAGCCTGTATGTTATTTTGTACATTTACAAATATTATTCTGAGAAGGGGTCCATAGGCTTCACCAGACCAAAGGGGTCCAGAGCACAGAAAGGTTAAGGGCCCCTGCTGTCGTATGAGAGTTAGAAGATGGGATCTGAGATTTTCCCTAGAGTCATCATGGGCCAGGGGACTCAGGGGCTAACCAGCAGCATTCAGTGGTAGCGTGAGGCAGACCCCAGGAGTGGTGGCATAGTAGGGTTATTGGATAAGAGCTTGGGTGGGCTTTGGAGACAGACAAAATACTGGCTCTGTCCAACTGGCAGTGTGATCTTGGGCAAGTTGTTTCATCTCTCTGAGTTTCCATTTCCTCCACTGTGAATTAGGAATAATAATATACCATACAATTCTCACGAGCATGAATTGAGAGGATATATGTGTGGCAACAACTACTGCTTGGCTGGCTGGCACTTGGCTGACTCTAGGTCAGCCTTCCCTACCTTGGGGCTTCTGGGGCTAAGGTATGTTATGTTGTTTTGTTTTGTTTTGTTCTGGAGATGGGCACTGTCTGTGCCCTACGTTGGCTTCCCATTTCCTGAACTTGAAGGATGCAGTGAAGCGCCTCAAACTCAGACACATCTAGGCAGACCTAAGTCCCCTACCTCCTCTTCTGTCCCGGCTCACTGAAACAGGCACTCAGGCCAGGATGCAAAGCAGATCTCCTGCCGCAGAGCAGAAGAGACCTCAAGTGAAAAAGAAATGTTCCAACATTGGTCACAGGAGTCAAAGTACCTGCCTCTGGGTCTGCAGAGCAGCTGGCTCCTGACCTGGTGTCTCTCCTAACTTGGATATGAGATGGGGATTCTGTAGTCCAAGTGCCCGCAACCCCAAATCCAGGCCAGGCCAGGGTCAGACCCAGGCTGCCCGGCCACTGGACAAACAGCCCTCAGGAAGCCCAGAGGAAACCTTGCAGCTCCTAAAGTTGTGCAAAAACTCCTTTACATGCATGTCTCTTCCAAACTCTGGCTTAAATGATGTTCAAAAGTTCTGTTGTAGAAAGGGGCCATGCACTCTTTTAAAATTATACCTATTGATTTTCATGTGATTATAAATGATAAGAGATTGGAAAGCACAGAAAATTTATGCAGAGAGATTAAAATCAAGCATAAGCCTTGCCCCTAGAAATCAAAACTATTAATATTGTGGTGAATTTCCTTCCAGCTATACTTATGCTAGCACACTTACATAAACTGGGATCATAATTATATCATTTTATATCCCGATTTCATCACTTAAACTACCTAGAGACATTTTCAATATGGGCTCTTAAAAGACACAAAACCATTATATCAGACGCTGTCTGTAAAACTCACAGGTTACTGAGAGTCATGGTATTCCTACGAGTGGTATTGTGCATTTAAATGTGTTATTCTCAGAAAACTGGTAGGAGAGCCCCTTTCACTCTTCTTAAAGTGCATGTAACAGTAAACTCTCTTCTTTAGCTTGGAGAGCATCTAGAGAAGATACATTTGCATTCTCAGCAAAGAGGCACTGTATGGTATTTTCCTTTTTCACTTTCTCATATCTCCCTGATAAGGGGAAAGCTTTGAAAATTCACTGCTGGAAAAATATCTTGCTCGACAAAGTGTGCAGCAGCTGAGGGAAAACCTCCAGAAAGAAGTGGCATGGCAGGAAGAGAGCCCTGGACTTCAAATGGAAGACAGCTGGATTCCTGTGTCAAGTCTGCCATTGTGGCCCTGAGATCAAATAACACCCACCACCAGCCACCTCAAAGGACCAAAGGGCTGCGTAGACTAAATAAGACTGTATGCGAAAGTGCTTTGTCAATAGTCAAATACACTGCAGGGCAGTAACCGCTAAGTCATGTTGTTGTGGCTGGTAACAGCATTGTCACTCCTGTTGCTCAGCCAGCTTGAACTACGCACGGCACGCCCTGAGAGGGGCAGTGTCCAATAGTGCAAAAGCGTGGACTCTGCAGCCATGCTGCACCTCCTAGTTTGGCCGAGTTATTTAGCCTCTCAGTTTCTTCATCTGTAAAATGGGATGATGATAATACACCTACTTCATAGGACTCTTGCCAGATTAAAATAAGTTAATTTACACAGGGTCCACAGAACAATCCCTGGCACATAATAAACACTCCACAAGAGGAGCTTTAAAATGTTGGACTAGCAGTCTCCATCATTCTCCCTAGAAAGCTACGTATGCCCCCCACCCCAGCCCTGCTCAGGTTTGGCCAGCACCCTCCTACCTTTTCAGCATCCTGCTCGAAGAGCCGCAGCTGGAAGCACTGGTCCAGTTTGAGCTTGCGCACGTGCCACATCTGGTGCAGGTGCTGCCGGGTGGAGTGCAGCTTGTCCAGGAGGCTGGTGATCTTGGGCACCAGGCTCTGGAAGTCGGCGCTGCCCGGGATGCAGTTGCGCCCTGAGAAGCCATCGCTGCAGCGGATGCACTGCAGCAGCCGCTGCCCCTCCCGGTCCAGCTCCTCCACAGGGGCCTTGAGCACCTTCTTCTTGAGCTGTGTGTGCTCGTCGATGAGCCGCCGCGAGCCCTCCACGTCCACGGGGAACTCCTTGCGGGCCAGCATCTCCTGCAGGTCCTCGAGGCGCGACAGCAGATGCACGGCACTGTTGAAGAACTCCTCCAGGGAGAGCCGCAGCTCGATCCACTCCTCATGGTTATAGTCCAGGGAGCCGTCAAACTCCTCTGTCAGCTGGGAGGGGTCCACCAGCTTCGTGAGGCCCTCCACGGACACCATGCTCGTCTGGGATGGGCAGACACAGAGAGGGAGACTCAGTGATGCTGGGGCAAGTCAGGGGAAGACCCCAGGGCAGCCGTAGGCAGAAGAGAGAAACTCAAGGGGAAAGGCCAAGATAAGTCCATATAATAATGACCACAGCATGCCTGGGAAAGGGCAAATGGGAGAGCAGGCAGCCCCCTGGTCAGCTAAGATCGGCAGTTTCAAAAGACCGGCTTACTGGTTCAAAGAGCCTCTCTGCCTGCTCACCATTTGCCATTGAAGGGAAGACTGCCTTTATGTTCCTACTGCTCTCATCTTCCTCCTTCCCATCCCCAAGTCTGCCACAACACGGCTCAGGATGCTAGAATCAGAAGCTGGAAGAACAGACTGAATCTAATTTTAGGGGGTCTAGTTCTCAATAGCTTTAAAACCTAGGATAGCCTCATGGTTGGATTAAGCAGTGTGGGTCAGTCTTGGGCTGCAAGGGTCTCAGAGGCGATCTTCCTGCCTCTTCCCACAAGCAGATGCCCTTCTCTGATGCAGTGAACAAACAGGGCTCGGGGGACAGGGAGCCTGGGCCCTCGGCTTTCTCTGAGCCCCACAGACTCTTGGAGAGCAGAGTGGAGAACGTTTGTCTCCAGGACACAGAGCAGCAAATGACGGCACAGGCAACCACCCCGATGTACCAAGAAAGATTGTTTCTTTCCTACAGGATTTCTCGATTCTCTCTGCTGGAGAAGGAGAGGCTACTAGAGAAATATCTGGATTCAGGGTCCAGCCCTACACTTACTAATTGTGTGAACCGGGCAAACTAAGTTCGCAGAGCCGTTGTTTCGTCCTCTGTCTAATGGAGATAATAATGCTTTTCTCCTCGGGCTGTGCTGGAATTAAACCTGACGGTGTGTAAAGCACCGAGGGCACCAGCATGGAGCACGTGCTCAGCCCCTGAGTGCTCATCAGGACGATCTGAAGGCTGCATCCTTACTGGAACCCTTAAAAGCGGTTCATCTCCCTCTGTCTTGCTGCTCTCTGGGCATCGCCTCCTCTTCTCCCTTTTCCTTCTATCTCCTTCCAAAGGCACAGGAAGGAGCTGCCTGTGTCTGAAACAGGGGTTCTCAAACTCATCAGAGTCCCTTGGGGAGTTTAAAAAAACACTGACGCTCAAGCCCCACCCCTAGAAACTCTGATTTAGTTAGCCTGGACTGGAGCTTGGGCAGGGGTAATTTTAAACGCTCCTAATGTGCGACCAGTGGCACAAGCCTCTGCTGATCCAGATCCCTGCAACTCAAAATGCAGCCCTCAAACCAGCAACACGGGCACCACCTGGGAGCCTGTTAGAAATGCAGGATCTCAGGCCCCACCTAGACCTTCTGGGTCAGGATCTGTATTTAACAAGATGCCCAGGAGAATCTGTGCATTAAACCCTGAAAAGCCCTGTGTTACAGCCCTTTCCCCTTTGAATTTGGCTCAAAGTTGACCACTTCCAGGAAGTCTCCCGTGATTATTCACTGACTATTCATTAAGTATCTGCCATTGAACAAGCCTGGACTCTCATCTCTGTAGCACCTACCATCTCGGTCTGCACTAAGTACTGCATCTGCTCTTTATAAAACACTACATCATAAATATTCTTCCGAGTTGGAAGCCCCCACCTCTGTCTCCTGCTCTTCTTGTTTAGGAGGCAAAGACAAGCGTGCTCAATTTGGGGTGAAGGAGGTGCAGGGAGATGGGAAATACTGGGCATCTAGGCTGAAGCAAAAGTTTCAAGACTTGGAAAGATTGTTTCTAGTCGCTTCAGCTAATAAATTTATAGGCCTGTTGTCACCGCTTCTGTACAAACAAACCAAAAATACACAAAGCATTTATTTCCCTACAGGACTCCTAGCATTGGGAAGGGGTTCTGGGGGAGCATGAGAGTTAACTGTTCTTACACCAAGTCAAATTTCTCGTGTTATTTACACAGAGAACTGCCTCTCAGGTGGTCAGGTTGCTGCGCTCAAATCACAACCTGTTGGGGCCACCACCCCACACCAAGGCGCTCCCGGCCCCTGGGGACAAACGTCTGGAATGAGAAGTTGCTGCTAGATTAAGAGCAGGTCTGCCTTTCCAACACACACGTACACAGGGTTCGTCCTCTTGCAGATGGGGGCCAGAGTTCCGAGAAAGGAGAACAGCTCGGCTTTGGCTGGAACAAAGGTTCCTAAATCATTGATTTAATGTGTTGTCATTAAAAATTCTCAGGGGACACATATGGCCTCTAGAAAAATCAAGTTAAAAAACATGTTTTCGCTGAGTATAAAAGTAATACAAAATTGTCAAAAGAAAGTAGAAAAACATAATCCAGCCACCTCAAATAAAGCACTGTTAACCATTTTCATGTATCTCTCAGTCTTCCTCTCCATATACTATACTCTTAAAAACCAACTTCAGATTATATTGCCCATACTGTTTTATAAAGTCTTTTTCTTTCCTAAATTAAAAAAAAATTATTTATTTTATTTATTTATTTTTGGCTGTGTTGGGTCTTCGTTGCTGCGCATGGGCTTTCTCTAGTTGTGGCGAGCGGGGGCTGCTCTTCATTGAGGTGTGCAGCCTTCTCACTGCAGTGGCTTCTCTTGTTGTGCAGCACGGGCTCTAGGCGCGCGGGCTTCGGTAGTTGTGGCACGTGGGTTCAGTATTTGTGGCGCACGGGCTTAGCTGCTCTGTGGCATGTGAGATCTTCCCAGACCAGGGCTCAAACCCGTGTCCCCAGCATTGGCAGGTGGATTCTTAACCACTGCGCCACCAGGGAAGCCCTATAACTTGTCTTTTTAAAAACAATATATCATGTGCATTTTTCAATGACACTATTGTTCTAAATATGATTTTTAATGGCTTCATAGTATTTGTGTATTAATGCTGCCAAAATTAATGGATATTTAGGATACGAACTATACATATGTGCATGTACAGACATGCATACCTGTAAATATTTGTGTATACATATGCGTATATTATTGCAAAAAACACTGTGATGAATATCCTTGTAGACATTTTTTGTTTATAGTTATCATTAGTTCTTCACCTGTTTTAATTTTTATATTAAAAACATTTTCCTAGAAGAAGAGTTGAGAGATCAGTGGATATAAACTCTTTTTAAGGCATTTGACCCAAATTACAAAGTTGTCCCCCAGAAACAATTGCTCTGATTTATACTCATCAGTAGTAACAGGACTGCCTAATGACTCTGTGCCCTTGGGACAATCGCATGAGCCTCTTGTTCCTTCTGAGACTCTCACTGGCAAGGCCACAGTGGCCAAGGAATCCTGAATTATCAGCCCCTGACATGTTGGGGACGGTAGGAAGGTGGAGAAGTGCAGGTGAGAAATGTGTGGGTGGCAGAAGGGGAAGGAAAACGGGAGCTAAGAGAGAGGTCGGCCTCACCTCGAAGATGAATTTGGAGCTGCCAAAGTTGGTCTTCTGTTTCTGCCAGAAGTTGTCGGGTTTGATGATGAGGGCCACATGGATCTCGGCTGGAAAGGCTTCCTGCAGCGTCTTGAGGAGGGGCTTGATGAGGTCCCACTTGGAGCCTCGCATGTCGATGATGACGGTGAAGCCACGTTTGCACACGTCCTCACTGTGGGGAGGTCAGAGGTCAGGCACGGTCACTCTGGGCCACTGAGACTTTGGAGTACACAGTCAAAAAGCATCTGGAAACCCGCATTCCTCTTTATCTGGACCAACCTTCCAACTTCACACCAGGTCTCCTGGCTGCCTTGCAATCCAACTCAAAATGTACTGCCTCAGAAAACCTTTCGAGATTAACCCCATCTGACCAAGGTCATCTGCCTTCTCCCAGCACTTAGCAAGTAACTCAGCTTTCCCTGTAGTCAATTGCACTTGTTGGGACGTTTACAGTTTCGGTATTCACTATTATGCTTGATTTTCTTTTAATTCTTGTCTCTCCCTCTTGCTCCTGGGTTGAATCATATTTTCTCCATTTGAATACAAGCTCTCTAGAGTCAGGGATGCTGCTGCCCTTAGATCTGCGATGGAAAGTCCTTGGCGTGAACGCTGTCCTTCCCCGGGCCCACATCAATGGCAGCCACTGCTATGCTTTACCACTGAACCCAACCTGGGCCAAAGAATCTTTTTCAATAAAGGGGTCTAGGCCAATTCTACCAATTGATTAGAGATGGTACACAAGGTATTGATAACATCATTGTATTTAAGATGTATTACTTGTAGTTCAGATTGTATGTCAACTTTGAAAAACTCAGGTTGCCGAGCCATGCTGATTACTCTCAGATGGCCACAAGGGTGGGACTGATTAGACAGTGGATGTGGTCCCGTTGTCTCACGTACTTCCATTATAAGAGTCAGGGTATAAGAAGGCACATTTCAGGAAGTTAAGACAGGGGAGACTACTCTTGAAATCAAGGCCAGATGAAGTGACAGTGACCACCTTGAAAACCAGAAACTAATCGGGCTAAGTGAATCAAGACGTTGCTACATAACTTATTAAGTAGCGAAGTTTATTTAAACACTTGGGACTTTATAACTCCTAAGAATTGAAAGAAAAAAAAAAAAACAAAGATCAAAACAGTTATAACACCTCAATTTGGAAGAAAGTCTGTTTTGGTAGTTAGAGGGCTTTCCTTCTATCCTTCATTTATTTAACCTGTGTATTTATTTTCTAACTCAAAATGGACTTTGGTTAATTCACATGTTTATATAAATACTGGTGTAGCATTTCCTTAGGTTGTTTGGCTTAATTTCCTATTACCCAGACTGTACTAGCTTAAAGCCCTGTGCATGTTGCATGCCCCACAGTCGTGCACCACCACCTACCAATCGCTTATAGCTACTGGAGGTAAGGCCACAATGGGAGGATGTAGGCTACAAAAGGAAACAAAACCCTGTTTCAGGCTTCATTCTCAAGTCTCAGCCAGTGATGAAAATGTCACAGACTTTTGAAGAGACCACAGCTCCTGTGATTGTGCGAATGTCTCAAGCATAAGGCAGCTTACTGGGCCTCCCAGTTACACAGGAAACTCGCCAGGTGAGGAGAGACACTCTTTCCATTTCTTCTTGTTGACACAAAGGATTAGACTCAGCAAGGGGGAAAGCTGAGCCTTTTGTTTCTCCACAAATCCTATATCCCAAAGGAAAGGAGTTACCTCCTCTCCTTCTCTGACACTTATTGAGTCAGTAAGTGGCCAGGGTCTTCCATAAATAATTCTCTCTACCTTATTGTCTGAAACCAATGTGCCTTTTTCTAAAATTACAGAATTTCTTTCCCATTATGAGAAAATACCCAGTAATTACAGAAAAGTTAGAATATTCAAAAATCTGTATAAGAGATACTAATGGTAGGGATTTATAATACTCAGGCCTATCTCCTTCCAGTCTTTTTTGTACATGTAATTTGTATACCATATAGTGTTCTACCTTTCATTGTAACACAGAATTTTTTCTCATGTCTAACATTTCTTTGAAACAGTTATATTTAATGACACATAGTCCATCTCATACCCACACCACAGCTTTTTTAATCATCCTCATTATTGCTGTACAGAAGGGCACAGCAGCTTATATATCTACCAGCAATGCTGAGAGTACCCACCGCCGCCCCTTTACTGTATCCTCATCAGCACTGGTCACTGAATTTTTTAAATCTTTGCCAATTTTCCAAGAAAAATATGGCGTTACATTTAAATTTGCATTCCTCTGATTACTGGCTATAGCTTATTGGCCTATAAGAATTTCTTCCGTGACTTAACCTGGCCGCTTCTTTCACCTATTTTTCTACGGCAGTTCAATGGCTTTTCTCACTGAGCTTAGTTCCATTTAGCCTGACTCACATTTGTTGCACACGCACTTACGCCAGGCACTGCACGGTAACTGTGGGTCTTCCCTTCCCTTAGAGATGACCGACTTCCTTGCTCACCTGCTCCTCAGGCTCCATCGCTGGTACCATAATTGTACTGACATGACGAAACCCTGTCCCTAACAACAAAGAGTCACTGTTGCTACCAAGAGCTGGAGCTTGACTATCCCAGCATCTAAACGTGGTCATCAGGAATAGCTTACACTCTATTAACGAATGACTTCTGACAACTAAAAGAGAAATAAGGTACTAATTCTCTCTAGGAAGTTCTCACTAGCTCAGGAGATGGGGAAAGAGGCCCAGGGGCTGAATGCTGAGAGATAACCTAATTGGCATCTTTCTGTGAAAACAGCTTATCTACCAAGGTGCTTTCTGTGTTTGGTTTGAAACAAGGAACATAGCTGGAGGAGGGAAAAGAACTTTTCATCGCGTACTTATTGTGCCAGGGATGGTGGCTGGGCACTTGACATACGTTATTTCATTTTATCCTCATGATGGATAAACCTGGCATGGTTTTCACCATGTAAGAGATGATGACACTGAGGCACAGAATTTGCCTAAGGTCACATGACTGGTAAGTACCTAGCACAGAGTCAAAACCACGACCACTGACTCCAAAAGCCCAAGCTCAGGTCACTATATGATGTGACCCACCATGTTGCCACTAGGTGTGGTCTTTTTGGGACTGGGTGTGGCGTGAAGGGTCATGATGAGGGGACGAGATTAGGGAGCTCATAGGAGATGGGGGAAATTAGGGCAAAGAATCCAAGTGGATGACCTCCACCCTGCAGTCTGCACAACCACAGAAGCCAAAGAGCCTGGCACACTCGGAAAGTTCAAGGAGTTCACTTTGGTTTAGGCACGGGGCGAGAGGCAGAGTGATGAGGAGCTGCTGTCTGAATGCTTCAGAGAGCCCTACTCTGGGCTCCGACCCTCCTCTTGCACACCCTCCCCCCAGGGAACGAGGACGCTTGACAGAAAGAGACCATGCTGCCCCCATCCTTTTCTAGACCAAGTTCCTTGTACCCGAAACCCTAAAATTCTCAGCTCAAAGGTCTTTACCTGCTTCCTTGGCCCATGTGTGCCTCTCTCCCAAGTCCAATTCCTCAAGGGTAAGGAACGCCACCAGTATGAGCACCTCGGCCTGAGGGGTGGCAAAGAGCTGCTATTTGTAAGGGGGTGGCTAAAACATGCATGTGCGAGCCGGGAGTCCACGTGCACGCATGAGGACCCCCGCAGTGGGAGACACAGCTGGGCTGTGAGAAGGTAGGCAGAGCTCCCTGCACTGCCGAGTTCTAGCATGGAACCCAGGGGTCCAACAAACCTGAATCTGAAGCTGGCCTCCTAGGTCGCTGTGAAGGTATGTTTGTCAAGGTGGTAGGGTAGAACACATTTTATCTAACAGTTCGTTAGCTTGCTGTATTAATTTTCAATATTTAGATATAGGGTACGTGGGTTTCCATTTGTACTCCTGCCCTGCCTGGGCATTGCAACGGTAGTAGCAGGGCTTCCAGAGAAGAGGCAGGAGTGGAAGCAGGCCTCAAGTCAGGACACTTCTTGTACCATGGCAGAAGCGGTGCATTTATCCTAAGGGCAATCAGGAACCACTGAAGGGTGTCATTCAGGGATGGAACGTGAGCAAGTGATTTGGGAAGGTTACCCTGCAGCTGTGCAGAGGGAGAGTAAACCAGGGTCAAGCAGACTGAGCAGGAGAACAGAAGCAGAGAAACCTCCTCCTTTGGACTAAAATGCCTCTTAAGTGAAGTCTTCCTTGGGCCACCCGATTTATAGCTGCACTGTCACCTAGCACTCCCTACCTCCCTTCCCTGATCTATTGGTCTCCTTAGCACTTAGTACCATTCGGGTCATGTATTTTACTTATTCATTGTCCATTTTCCCTCACTGCAAAGTAACCTCGATGAGGGCAGGGCTGTTTGTACTGATTTCACTACCCAGTGCCCGCAGTGCCCGGGCCAGGCTAAGACTCAATACACTGAGGAAGGAGGAGTGGTAGTTAAGGGTATGGAATCTAGAGCCAACCCTCCTCGATCTGAATCCCGGCTCCATCATTTACCTATCAAGAAACCTTAGGCAAGTTACTTTTAACCTCGGTGCTGTAAAATGTGAATAACAGTAACTACATTACAGGGTTACTTTAGAGGTTAAGTTTGTTAATACACATAAAGCACTTACAGTGGTGCTGGGCACGGATCTGTACTACGTGAGTCTTAGCTGCTGGAGGAGACATAGTTGGTGTCCCCGCCAGGGCCTCTTTATTGACTACTGTGCCCAGCTCCCAGCTCCATACGTGTTGCAGCAGTCAGCTTTTGCCTGAGACCATGTCAGGAGACTTACCTTTGGCTGACTTACCTTTTCCAAAGGATGCCTGGGCAGTTATACCCCCGCCCCAGGGGGGCCAGTGCTTCTCTTATACAGGGGTGCCCGTCCCTCAAGGCGGGGTAACTCTGAAGTGTGACTTATGCTCCAGAGGCTTCTCACTCCCCCAGTCAGCCTCCAGCTAGATTTCATCTGAGACCACAGCCTTGCTCAGTCCTGCCCCTTCCTACTCTGCTCCTCTGACTCCCTTATGGGTCTTTCCTAAAGATCATGCCCTTAATAAATCATCTGTACCTGAATCCCTGTCTCAAGAAACAGAGCCACAGTCATACATACATAAATTTCATACATATATGAAATTCTGAAGGCAATTTGAAATATAGTCTGGAGATTAAAAGAGGAATCTGGGT